TCCCGGGGAAAGGGAGGGGGAGTAATGGACGAGAGGATGCGAGAAAAGGAGATAAAGTGAAGATTTTTTTTTTCTCGTTCGATCAAAGTCGATTGATCGATGAAAGTGGATGGAGAAGGAATCGTGTAAAGGTGTAAGAGAAATAGATTAGTATTAATTGCGAGTAATTATTTATTATAAAATTTTTATGAAAATTAAAATGATCGAATTGTCGTGCAATTTATGGGGAAGAATTAATTGCGGAGAATATTGCAATTTTGATAAATAAATGTTTAATACGATAATGTTTAATAATAAATTGGTAAATTGTGAAAAAAGTATTCTTTTTCAGTATTACGGATATCCGATTATATAAAGAGAGGAGAGACAGAAAATAATGTAACTGGTATTAATGTGTCCATTATATATTCTTTCCAATATTAATGGATTTGTGCCTGCCTATTGTTAAATGCCTTTGAACGAAGCAAGATTTTTTTGAAAATGGAAATCACGTAATATTTAAAACAGTATTTTAATCGAAGAGATAAAGCATCTCTCGAAAGAGGGATTAAAATTCTCCATTTGAAAAATGGAAAATATCCATATTATAAAAATTAAAAGTAAGCATGAGTATTTTATTTTATTTCAAATTCTTAAAAAGGGTATTAATTAAATGATTTAACGCGTAATAAATTTTGATGAGGCTTTCAGAAAAAATGGCCACAGCATCCCTCTCTATTCTCATTACCAATCTGCTTAAATCGAATCGACGATCGTGGATCAAATATATTATGAACGTATCTATAAAACTATCGAATTAATTAAACTTTATTTTATCCTTCGAACGCTTAACGGTACGTTCTGAGCGCACACAATGAGATGCATACGATTAGCGGCAGTATGCGATATCAGCCACGTGTACTCGTGCAGGGTTACCAAAGTGAGCAACGAACCATTCGCGTTTAATTCTCTATTCGCGTGTTCGTACATATGTTTCAACGAGGGAAAACTGCATTTACGCATATGTACGTTTTACCGCAACCGATGGTTAATATTAATGAAGTTAATTGTTTCGTCTAATTATAACATCCCGTGTTGTGCAACAAAGAAACAACAAACAGTGAGAAAAATTTGAATCGAATCATCGAACGATTAATTAATTAATTTAGAAATATGATATTAATTCTGCGGCTTAATAGTACGAAGTAATCAAAGAGCATGATTATGAGAGAATTACGAAATTGATTAATTTACAACAATTATAGGAGAATATGTAAATGTTTCATAAAATTATTGAATTTTGAATTTGAATTTTGTTATGCGAATAATGATATAATTATAATTGTATCGTGGATTTATGTGCAATTAAGACACGTTCAAATAATTAATTAATGCGAAGAAAGTATTTATGCAAATTGTGTGCATACGTAAATATTATGTATGGTATTTGTAAGGTATTAATTTTATTGAGTACATTTATTTACCATATATATTTTTTTTTCATCATAAATCGATATCATTTATCATTTATCATTTATCTTGTAGGTGACGAAGGTCGTTTTACATTCTAAGTTATATTTATAATACAATTCAAGTGGCATATCTCCATTCTCTAAGTTATTATTATGCATTTCTTTTATGAATGCTGAATTAACAGTTTTATTACAGGATTTTATCCTTTTATTACGTATCTATTTATATTTTATCCAATATGTAACATTTATAATCTAACAATAACGTGTAAGAATTTTCATTTTACTCAAAATTCTTTTCAAATTACCATTATAATTAAATTCCTTCCTCCATGAATGACTTTCTTAATTCTAAAATATTTTTATTCTTCAAACTTTGAACAAATCGATTAACATATTTAATTAAAAGTTCAAACAATAAAGAAATATCGATTATATCAATTCCTTGGGAACTCTTCAAACGGTATTTAACGGCTGCCATTAAATTCAGCCAATTAAATGTTCCAATTTTTCGAGCAAAAATACGAATATAAAATAATTTCACCGACTCACTTTAAAAATGTCAGGAGTCGGTCTGAAATATTCATCGTGAAATGCAAAAGTGATTCAGCCCAAGTGAGCTCTCCTCTCGTCGATAAATCTGTACCCTCCAAATGCATCCGTCGACTATTCTCGTCCGACCTACTCCCAATCCCCTCACCAAGAAATATTAATCAGAATTCCACCATTTCTACTAATAATCACCTATAATATATCGTTTCCAAGGAAAGAATCGAACCATGTTCGTCGAAGAATCGATCGAAAAATCTGTATACATTCGAATAGGAGCGGAAACTTGTCGATAACCGATACCCTTTTCGACAAAGAAGAGGAACGAAGAAGAGGAGGAAGAAGAAGAAGAAGACGCTTGACGCTTGCGAATCGAGACGAATCTATTCGTGGAAAGGAGTAGTCGGTCTCACGAACTCGTCACAAAAGGTCCCAACTTTTCAATATCTATCCGAATCTTGGAATCCCCTCTGGGAACCAGGCGAAGCTGAATCCAAGCTTTCCAGCCCAGGGTTGAAAGGTCACGTAAACGGGCCAATCGCGGGTGAAAAGGGAAGTGGACGAATTCGATGGCCGAATTTCACTTCCATCCTCTTGCACACGAACGACCGTATAATGGAATAATAAAGTGACCCCTTTGGTCGATAGCAGGCCGCATTCGTGGAAAGGGCGTTGTTGTTCAAATTGTTAAACAGCTTTGGGACTCATTAACACACTGGTTTAGATATTGAAATTGTTATTGGTTTAAAATCGATCGAAATGCGTTGCGGGGAGCGCATTAATGATTATTATTATGGTAACGAATTCGGGGGGAAGAAAGAGAGAGAAAAGTTAAATTGGTATTTCATTTGTAAAAATTAAATTGACGAACGTTTAATATTTTTGGATTAAAAAAAAAAAAGTGTAGTTGGTTCCATTTTAGAATAACGAAGTTGATTGAAATGAAATCGAGCTCGTAGAGACGTTTAATATTTTCTGATAAAAATTGTGGCGGTAGTTCCATTTAAAATAACGAAGTTTCGGAATTTTTGAAACGTTTCCATTTATAAACATGCACTTCGTAATGTGCCATCAAGGTAACTACAGTAATTTGTGAACAAAATTTTTTTTTATATATCGTGTATAATTCTATTATTTTCGAAGAAAAAATTGCATGAAATGACAAAAATAAATATCGAACGGTATTCCTTATTTTAAATCAAACTTCCATCATTATTATTTTTTTTTCGTGAATCTCAAATCATGCTACGATAATTCGCTAATTCTTTTGCATCCATTTAATGCAAGAACCGTACAGTCTTCGAAAACCTATCATTGAAAATAAGAAATCAAAACGAGAATTAGGAAAATTAGCCACAAATAATTCGTTTCGAACCCTGTGCAAATTCACTGTGTGAAACAAGTTCCACTTGATCGGGAGGGCTGGTGTATACGTGACCAATCGTCGAGTCAACCACTCGCCACCTCGCCTCCCCCTAAATTTCTCCCTAAACAGCTGAAGTCCTCGTTCGAAGCAGCTCCAAAGTTTCCCCAATTATTCCATCAACGATGGAACTCTTCCCAAGTTTGGCGGGGAGCGTGGTTTGGCCGTAAATTCAAAACGGGACGGGCGCAAAGGCCTCGCGTGCCACGATTCTCCCCCTTGACTCGACAAATCTGACACGCGCAATTACGCCATTCCTGTCTGTGCGGTGTGTGCGGGGGATTCAAAGGACGGATTACCGCGCGGCCATCGCGCGAAAATTGTTCGGCCTGGACTGTGGCCGAAAATAAAAGGGCGAAGCGGAACCACTCACCCTTCCCCACCCCTCCTTTTTTCCTGCTTTTGTTTTATTCGCGCGCGATCGACGCTCGTTTATTCTTTGCCACGGGAAAAATTCTTCGTGGGAACAATCGCCCGCGTTTCCGTGCATTTGTAGCTGAAAATTGATTTATCTCTGCCTTTCTTCGCGTTTCCCCATCTTCTTTTTACTTTAGGCGGTTAGTGTAGAGTTGTTGTAAGTGATTAAAGAAAGAACGATTCGATGATATGATAGAGCGATTCATTGATTTTCTTTCAACTTGAGTCTCTTCTAATGAATTTTTATTTTTCGTTTCTTTTTAGAAGAATGAAATATAGATACAATTATAATTTTTATTAAATGATTGTGTAGTTAGTATAAAGTATAAAAGAAATAATACGTATATTGTGAAATTATATATTGATTTTAGATGGATAGAATTAAATGAAAATTTGTGATAATATAGAATTGTACTGTATGAAGCAATATTTAATCTTTCTAAAGATATAAAAGGAATTAAAATTTGCATGATTCCAATCCGTCAAAGAAAAAAGAAACACGATTACTACGATTCATTATCACAAATATTCAATTTCATGTAAATTTTTTTATTCGCTTCATTTTTATAGCAGTATCCCAAAGAAACGAAATAAATTTAATATACGTTTCACTCGTAAACAATTTTACGCCAGATTACAGATAATTAACTCAAAAGAGTTATCAAAATAAATAATAAATTATCCGCGTTACACGCATGAAGAGTTTCCCAGCTCATTATCATCTCGTTGAATTTATATACTCTCCATTGAATTTCAACTCGCGCGAACAAGCATACCCGTTCGTTACGAAACAAGGAAACCATCGAAACCACCGTTTCATTTCCATAAAAAGCATCATCGATTATTTTACAAGATGCAAATGCAAGTTCGAAATAAGAGAGAAAGAGAGAGAGAGAGAAGGAAAATTTTCGATTTTATCAATGTTTCACCAAAATGTTTCGCTGGCATGGCGAGGGCCATGATCAGCGGATTCAACCAACACGTGGCACGTTGTTGCTGACCAACAAGAAAATTGTATTTCCCTGACAACCAACAACCGTTATTGCGGTAACAGGCAGCGCTGTTCGAGGCTGGTGCACGTCTCCGCGTGATAACAATTCCCGTCCAACGTGTGACGTTGGACACGGAACTCCGGTGTCGCTTATCCAGTTGACCGCACCCTGCCTTCTTATTTCAACTTTCATTCGGGGTTGAAGGTTGCACAAGGCGATCTTGCCGATCAGTTTGGGTATATAAGGCGACGTGTCAGAGGGGTTGAGCATCAGTCACTAGCAAGCTAAAGACTAACCACAACGCAATCAATATGAAGTACACGGTGAGATATCATAAAAATTTTATATCATAAACCTTCTGATTTAATTGGTTCATTCTCTGCAACATTTTAAATTACTTTCACTTGAATCTTACATCTTCAACTTGTCAAATTTTCAAACTACATGATGATGTAGTTGTTTAATCTTGAGATCAATACTGTATAGAACAGATTATTAATTCATACAAGTAATACTAAGCTTTCTGAAAAGAAACTAGATGGCACCAGTTTCCTTAATTCCTGCACAAAAATATTCCAACACCATTGATTCGAATCCCTCAAGAATATTTAATATTTATTATTTTATAATAATCTTTGCTGGAAAAATTAATCCTGATCAATCCCCACTATCGTGTGATCCATGCACCATTATTAACCAAATTTTTCTGAAAATTGCAGATCGTCCTCGTCGCTGCCCTGGCCATGGCCTCAGCCAGCCCCGATCGCGAGCGTCGCTCCCTCGGCTGGGGACACAATGGAGCAGTGGTGTTAGGTGGTGTTTTACCCGCCCTGGCTCCTTCCGTGGCGGTCGTGGGGCCAGCTGCCCCAGCTGCGGCGGTCGTAGGGCCTGCCGCACCAGCTGCGGCGGTCGTCGGCCCTGCTGCGCCAGCTGCGGCTGTGGTTGGACCAGCCGCCGGATCCGCCGTGGTGGCTGGGCCAGCAGCTGGCCCCGCTGCGGTCGTTGGACCCGCCGCGGGTAAGTCTCTCCGATCAAATGCTCCTCTCGATTTCAAATGTTTAAACAATTCGTGCGAAGTTCGTCGACCTATGTAAATTAGGAAAATACGCGAGCATCAAATATGATAATAAAACAATTTCGATCGATTTCGGTTTCCAGATAATTAATACGGGTTAATTTGATTCGTGTTTAATGAGCGCGTTATTATGAATCTCATTCATGCCGAATACGTGATACATGGGCGAAGCAAGGCTTCAAAGGATGTTATTAATATATTGTGGGATTGGATATTGAATAATGTAGGATTATGTACAGATTTGTGGTGAATATTTAAGGATGTTGTATTAAAGAATTCGTTTTCCTTTCCTTCGTAGGAGCAGCGGTCGTGGCTGGACCCGCAGGAGCGGTGGTGGCGCCAGCAGCGCATTGGTAGACCCCGGATTCGACCACCCCTCCCCCACAACTTAAGACAACTCGAACGATTTCTCTCGTGAACATGGAAACGGCTTCTCATCGACCTCCATCCGCGGGACTTGGATCAAAAAAAAAAAAAAGCTCAA